AATGACTAATAAAACCATTGAATCACAAACCAACGTGTGTGCCAAAATGCTGCTAAGGTATATGCAAAAAGAAGTTGCCAACGGATTAAAGACAACTTTTAAATAACAATTCTAAAATAGATATGAACTTTTGATTTGAACCAAAAGTAATAAAAAAAAGGCTTAAATATATTTTTAGTTCCTCAAATTTAGGGTAAATCTGTTTTTGATTGTTCAAATTTAAAATTATTATTTTTAATATCTATAATTTTAAAAAAATTTATTTTATTCTTTATATTCAAATTTTGTTAAGAAATTTATCAAACATTATTACATAAAATCTACCTATTCGTGTCTCTATTAGTAAAAATATCACATTAAATCCGGTTGATATTGCATAACTGTTTTAATTAGTCACTTTCAAATATGTTATTGGTGACTTAAGGGACTAAAACAAGATTTTTGAAAATTACAATGACTAAAAGCAACAGTTTTAAATTTGAGGGACCAAAAACAAATTTTTCTTAAATTTGAAGGACTAAAAACATATTTAAACTTAAAAAAATTAATTGTTATTACTTCAAATCTTCAATATTTGTGTCATTTTTTTATTTTTATTTTTACTATAAATGTGAGGATATTGTTGGTGAATAATAAATATATTTGTATATGCTCATAGAAGTTTGAAATTTATCTTTAAGTCTTCATTCAACTCACATAAATTTTAATGTAAAAAAAACATAATAAATTACGGAAGAAGGTAAATTGGTGGATCAAGATCCAACTATAGGCATTTGGATTTATTTTATCTCCAAAACAAATAAGAAATATCATTTTTGAAGTATAGATTTTTTTCAGTATTAATATCAAATTAAGTGTAATATGTTTTGAGAAAGAATTGCAGGTTTGTGAACGGTTGTTAAACTAACATTGATGAATTGAAGGAAGAATTAAAATCGTGACTTTGAGAATATTTGTGATGATAATACAAAGTAAAAATTTCGTGCTATTGCTTGATAAAAAGGTTAGTTTTTGGACAGTAATCAAGTCAATACCATAATTCTCATGGTGTTTTCAAAGATTTGGGATAAAAAAGGGCTTCAAAGCTCGGAGTTAGAAAGGTTAGTGGGATACTAATACTAATAGACATAATAATTAAATTTGAATTCATTGATTTTTTACCTATGAGTGATTTTGTTGGGATTTGGTTTGAGTTTAATTTTTTTTAATGACTTGTAAAATTAGGAACATGTTCTACTACAACAATTTCAAATTAGCTTTGATTCAATAACAATGATCACCAGTCGTTGATGCTAAATCAACACAAATTTATCTTTTGTAATTTTTCTTCTATTTTATTACAAAGGGCTAGTCCTTTTTTAATTTTTGTTATTATTAGTATGGCGGCGCTAGGTTTTAAATTATAACTGAAATGAAAAATCCTATCTCACTTCCCCCCTCTTTGAAACTTTTTTTAATATTTAATTTGAAACTCCAACCCCTCACTATCTTTTTCCAACCTTTTACTTTCATCCTCTACCCAACCCTTCACTTTCATCTATGCCTTCTATGCATTTGGGGACATTGATTTTCATTTTTTTCAACTTTTGTTTTCTTTATTGCAAACCAAGATCAAGTTGATTCTATGCCTATTTTAAATTTTGTATTGGAGCAATCGGGAGCAAGAATCATTGTTGATATTTATTGAAAAGGAATTGGGTCAAGTTCTTCCATATGGTAATTCTAAGTTAAGTTGTTATTTTTGTAAATGAATTTTTGATTATTGAATTTTTAAATTATTTATGAGAGTTTGAAACAAAATGGTTAAAATTGAGGATTTGATCGGAGGTTAAAGGTCTAATGGCGACAGTTGCTGGTGACATATTTAGGTTCGAAGAAATGTATTACAGTGTGCAATGACAACAATATATATAAAGTGTTTCCTTTAACAAAAAAGAGGGCGGCGACGACGACGATAATGACCAAATTTCGACAAAGAATGATACATACAATTAATAATGGTAACATTTTTCTTTTGTCGTTACATATGAATGTCAACTTATATATTAACAAAATTGTCATTATTAAACATACTTTGACTCAGACGAACATATTAGTGTCAGTTTTGAAATTGTTACTTTAAATGTCAAAGTAACCATTAATAACAATTTTGAATGTTTAGCATCAAGTTCACACCAACACTAATATGTGATTTTTTATGGTGAATTTGAGTATTTAGCCATATGTCTAAAATAGTTAGAATTTTATTTTAATTTTTTATAATTATTAAGATTATAAATGATTTTTTATTAGTTAAATAAGTTATATTGAAATAATAATTAATAATAAAGTTGAAACCACATATTTTATGAGATATATTTTAAATTTTAAGTTGAAACTACATATTTTATGAAATATATTATAATGCAATGATGTATAAATACTATTTAAACTTTAATTATATTTTAATCACTAAAATTAGCCTAGTAATTAGATAGGGAGGGATTGGAGTAATTAGAAGTATAAGGACCTTGATTCAATTCTCATTGAAATCATCTTTATAATCTTTTGTACCTTAAAGAAAAACTTTAGATGTATTTTGATGCTGAAATTGAATATTTTTAGAAGGGCTTAACTAATGTAAAAGTTTTATATCATCACTAAAAAAAATTATTGTTATAATTTTAAAATTAATATTATAAAAGTAACAAATTTATTCTACATGATGATTTATAATCAAATAAAAATATAAAATAACTTTAAATCATGAGTGTTTAGCCAATATTAATTAAATAATATTAAATAAATGTAATTTCACTATTTATAATTAAAAAGCTAAAATAAAAATATCATTTTATAAATTCTTAACATTTAAAATAAACACAAAAGTCCAAATCACAATTATAATAATATATAAGTTTAACACAGCAATGTTGATTAACAATAACAAATTTACATATAAATTTAAAAATAAAACAAAAAATTAATATAATATTTAATTACTTGAAATTAATATATAAAAGTTATAAACTAAAATAAATACTAAATTATATGTTTTTTAGGCTACAAATTAATAGTAATTGATTAAATAATATATATTTATGTATAACTTTATTGAATGTGTTTTTATTTATCCTAAAACTATTTTAAATTAAAAAACTTGCAAAGTTTTTTAAAAAATGCTTGTTTTTATTTTCTGCATTTTTTAAACCAATATTGGACTAGTTTGATTGGTTCTTCATCAATTCTGAAATGAAATTTTTTTCAGAGTCAATAAATCGATCACTATGTTGGTTCTCTGGGTCAAAATGGTGACTTCACTCCAATTTTAAGATCTTTGTTGAAATCAATGTAAATATGTGTGGGTATATCATGAGTATAAAAATAAATAAAAAATATTAGAATATAATAAAATTAATTATAGATTATTACAGGGATCAAAACATTTTATGCACTTAACAATTATATAGATAATTATTTTTTTTATGTATATTTTATTCATTTTGTCCTCTATTCATAAAGAATTGTTATATAACTGAATAGATAAAAAAAATTCAAAAAAAAAAAAAGAGACAAAATTGATAATTTAAAGAGATACTTTCTTTATTAATAGCTATATATTATAGATATTAAATAAAATTATTAATCATCTTATGAAACGAGATCAATTAACAACATGTATAAACTTTTATACCTACTCTTTATATTTTGTTGTTTGTAAAATATGAAGTTGATTAATTTAACTATCAAATAAAAAAATAAAATTATAAAGCATATAAAGTTTATAAAAATATAAAGTATACATAGTTTTAAAATTCAAAAAAAAAAAAAAATAATTGCAAACTTCTTTGTACTGTTTTATTTTAATGGATAATATATCATTTAAAATGTAAGTAATTATTTATCAATAAATAACGTACTAACAAATGATTAATTTATATACAATATAAGATATATACTTCTATAATATTAAATAATTTAATAGTTTAATTGATTAATTATCTATTTATAAAAAAATGTTAAATTAATAATATAAGTTGAATAATTTAACATTGACTATTAATTGATCATATGTCTTATCTGATATTTAAACAATAAATTTATTTAATCATATTCGTTTTGAATTTTAGATTAATATATTATATATAAGAATATTTTCTTTACTTTTTGACTTAAAACATATTTTAGTATATTATCTTCTCTTGTGTTTTATTTAATATTATTTTAAAGTATTGTATGGGTTTTAAATTATTAATTAATTTTAATTTTTATATTAAGTTTAATTTTAATATCAAAAGTTTACTATTTAAAATTAGTTTCTTTTAATATTTTTATTTTCTTTATCTTTCTCTTCACATCTCAATTACTTTAGTTAAATTATACATATATTTCTCAAATTTCTCATTTATTGTCACCCTAACTCATGTCTACATAAAAACAAATATTTGTGACAAGTGTGGTGCATAAGTTTTATATGTATTATTGGGCTCATTGTCCTTCTTCTATTCAATTGTTATTCCTGGTGGATGGCGATGCACCTACCACTCCTTTTACTAAGTCGTTTAGCTTTTTCTTATATTTACTAATTATTTAAATACATGTATTTTTATTATTTAAATATTTTTAAATTGTATTTTTACGTAATTTTTAGCACTTTTCTTTATATATCAAACTCATATAAAATTTGAAATATGTACGGACATGTGCATATATAATAATTGTTAATATAAAAAAATATTTTTTATAACATTGATATAAGAAGACTGTAATTTTTAAGTTGTTAGAAGAATAAAAGTAAGGTTGTATCCTTTTTTCTAGTTTTGTAAATCATTTTTTTTAATAATTATTTGAGAATAGTTGATTATATTTTGAATTAACAAATTCATATTATATGTTAATTTTTAAATTATCATAATCGATCATTAAGATTTTTCTTACATAAAACTAATGTGATAGCTAATGATGATGTTAGAACTTCTTTTGAGTATATAGGTTGTATTGTTGATCCTCCTCAAGAAAATATGATAGATGATAATGTAGGTAGTGTTCTTGATCCTCAAGAAAATGTGCAAGATGATAATGAAGTTATTATTCCCAATCTACAAGAAAATGTGCAAGTTGATGATGTTAGAGGTTATTTGTGTTATGTAGAAAATGTACAAGATGGTGTTACTGGGAGTTCTTCGTTTTCTCAAGAAAATGTACAAAATGGTCCAAGATGGTACTTTTCGAGGAAGGAATTGGAAGAAAACTCACCATCGAGAAAGGACAACATAGATTGGAATTCAGAAAACATGTTACGCAAATCATACAGTGATTTTTTACAAGAGATGGGTAGGAGACTTGTTTTACCCCAAATGACTATAGCAACTGCATTGGTGTTTTGTCACCGATTTTTTTTGCGACAGTCCCATGCAAAGAACGATTGGGAGATTGTTGCAATTGCATGCATATTTCTTGCTGGCAAGGTTGAGAGCACCATTAACTGGCTACAAGATGTTATCATGGTTGGACGTGGAGTCAAGCTTGGGGTTGATGAAAAGACCCTGCATCGAGAAAAATTGTGTACTAAGGAGTATGAAGATTTGATTTTGTTGGCAGAGAAGCTTGTTCTTGTGACTATTGATTTTGAGATTGATGTGGCTCATCCTTATAGGCCTCTTAGTGTGGCAATAGATAAACTCGATGTTAGTATTGAGAGTAAAAGTCTTCTCACTCAAGTCGCATATCATTTGGTGAATGATGGCCTTCGGTCATGGCTTTGTTTGCAATTCAAGCCTCATCAGATTGCGGCTGGAGTCATGTTTCTTGCTGCTAGGGGTCTCGAGATGAAACTAAACCCATCAGATTGGTGGTGTTGGCCAGAGTTAGATGTCAATGAAGAACAACTAAAGGAAATGAGTGATCACTTGTTGGAGCTGGATAAACAAAGTTCGACTCCTCGATTCAATCACAACCTTGAGTGTGAAACTATAAGCACAAATGGTCTAAGAGTGGATGATAAAAATTGATGTAATTGGTTGTTGTGGCTAGGTTTCATAACTGTAAAGATTTAAGATGTTGATTTTCTTGCTTTTAAATAAATGATGTTCAATATCCTATTTTTCATAAATAAAAAATAATAAAATTATAAGGTATAGGTGACTTTTAATTAATTTAATGAACAAGCTTTTAAAATAAATCAAAGTGGTTTTAGAAAAATAATACAAATGGACTCGGTTAAGTTGAAGTGTTATGAATACTCTAAAAGAGTGATGGTAACATGTTTGTGTATTAATGAGTAGATTGTTTGAGTAATTGGTTTAAGTTGACCTTTTGTCTTTTTTTTTTGCTTAATTAAAATTTATACATATTGAAATTAAGTTAGGTTCATTATGTATTTAATGTTCTAGATTAGTGAGTCACACCTTGATTTATCTCTCATGTGGCGTGTATAAGAATTGTGGGTAATAAGGTAATTCTCAAGCCTTTGTAAGTTTTTATGTATATGACTAGAAGAGTTATGAACATTGAAGGAAATAAAGTAGGGTTATGTTAATTGTTTGATGACCTATAGTGAAATATAAAATTAGATCATGACACATGTGCGTGCCCATATACACACACACACATATATATATATATATATATAT